TTATATTTTATTTTATAATTGTATACTTCAATTTTTGTTAAAAAATTAATACACTATTTTCAAAAATTACTGAGATAATTATTGTCACATATGTTTTAATGTTAATTATATTTTATATACGTATTTTTAAAGTATTTGAATTTAATAATATTATAATTCTTTTAAAAGTTGGTAGGATGGTTTTAATTTCGATATTCAATTCAGTAATATTTTAATCTAATTAAACGTTGGCACAATGTTTTTATAGTGGTGTTTTTTATTCTTTTTTTGTTTTGCTGTATGAAAGTAATAATAGCCTTACTTTAGTATTTTATACTAATAGTAAATGCATTTATTTACACTTGCCTGCCATCTTAAAAAACAACATTTTCAACAAAAAATTAATCCATTTCTTTTAACGATATTTATTTTTTTTTATGTTTCGAATTTACTATGCGTAAAAACAGCGTTTTTCAAGATGGCTGACGATTGTAAAAATAGCGCTAGCAATTGCGCCAACAATTACGCCAACGTAAATCGCCAAAAATCCGTGCAACCCTCTACAAAAGTTTTATTTACCTGAAAGAATTTTAGAAACGTTTAAGCTCATTTTTGTGTCCGTAATCATTACAGTTACGCGTAATTTGCACTGTATCACTTAACATATTTCTACAGAAAGATACTGGGAGATACTGTTGAACGTTTTTTAGAGTGAATTTTAGTTGACAGTATTTGGCAATAAATTGGCATTAATGACGACAAGCTTTTCCCTCTGGTCTTAAAAAGAACTATCGCATTTCATTCATTACTGCCTTTATAATTATCGGCAAATAAATATTTCATCGAAATACCGTTTTAGGTTACGTAAATCGTTCTTTCAGATTTTAATTGAAGTAAATATTTTCCAAACTGCTAAAACGCTTATCGTAAATTGCCAGCCAATTATGTGTGAAAACGGTCGTCACATAAATCGTTGACGATGTGAAATTTCCTGCCGATTCTGATGACTAATTTCAATATCCACATTAATAAGAAAATAGCAAATTCTAGACTTGCTTTTATTCTAGATCTGCTGATAAAATAATTTGTTTTAAATTTTATTACCTGATAAAACTTTTTGTGCTGTCAAAGGTTAAAAATTTATAGAAAAGTGTCTAAAATTTTCGAACTTATTTTACGATCAAGGTAAAGTTTTGTACTTCCACGAAATTTTATCTTAAGGGGGTGAGGATGAAAAAAAAGTAGATTGGCTAGTCTCCATTAAATTAGCCTTCATTTATTCAATAGGCGTAAAATTTCATTAAAACGCTGAAAGAGGTATTTGTGAATTTTTAAAGTAACTAGCTCACCAAAAACTCGCCAAAGAAACGCCAAGAATTTTTAAGATAACTAGCTCACCAAAAATTCGCCAAAGAAGCGACAATGTAAATATAATATTTGGCTCCTGTAATTGTATAACTGCCGCAACAATAGCTTCTAATTTTGCTCTGTTTCCATATAAATTTAAAAAGGCAGGACTCTCTTCGCACCACTCTAACTTTTTTGCTGTCCCACTTAACCGACTTCTGCAATTTTCTGGGTCCAAAACAGACGTGAAAAAATCAGCGATGCCCTAACAGAATTCTAAATCCATATCTTCCGACTACCAGTCTCAATAACCAAACAACAGCACGCAGTAGGAATGACGAAGATTGCTTATATTTCTTCACCATTTAAAGAGTGACTGGGGAGAAGTGAGCGAGTTTTAGTCGGACAAATCCGTGAGGTGCTGAAATATCGTTTAGTACATTTTAGTCGGACGACACTGTAGAGCTCTTATATTTTTTTATAATAAAAGATGTCGAAAAATTAGGTATGCACTCGACAGTATCAAATTCCAGATTTTCTGATACTTCCTACTCATTTTCATTCTGATGAGGAATAGAAGTAAGAAAATGTAGAGTAAAGACGGAAATTATAAATAACTGGTTAATTAATATCAAATTCCTCAGATATGTATAATGCTGATGATACATCTGTTAGAAATATATTATTCATATATAGGGTGGGGCAAATAAAAGTGTCCCGGAGAATAGAGTTACTCTTTTTTTTCCAGGCTACTTTTATTTGCTCCACCCTGTATAGCGTACTGTTTTAAAATTTTTCTATTTGTTACAAGAACGTATAACTGCAATTTAAAAGATGAATTTTAAGTCTTATTCCAATTAATAGCAATATATTACAATAATGGTATTTTATAGTGCTTCCAAGATTATTTTTGTGAACATTGATCTAGTACTGTGACATCAAATGATATCAGAGATGGAAATTTCGTCATCATACGGGTACTTAAAGTCAAATACGTAAAATTTTAAACTTTCAAATTCCTGAAATTTCTTTTAATTCTCTCGTTATATTTATCTTGAAAAATAAATTAATCATAAATTTTAATTTCATAATATTTTTAAAATTTTTCTTTGACTGCAAAACAAAATTGTAGTAAAGATATTGATGTTTACGAATTTTGAAAGCTTCCACCCCCAAATCTATTTCTCATTTTATAACAACGTTTAAATATGGTCTGATAAAAGATTAAATAATATTTTGAACAACTTTTCAGTATCTCTAAACAGCATTTAAATACTCTATATATGAACAACGTCTGTGTGTTCCTGAAATGAATTTATTTCTCGAAATGGTGAAAGAACAGTCTTTCGCTTAGTGAATGATATTATCATAATTTCTTAAGCGAAATACTTTTAAATTATCTTTTCTCAATATAACATCTAAAATAACACTAATAAGATACATTATACTAAAGTTGGCATGGAATTAATTATTAATTATTTATTAAATCAAAACTAAACACTGCATCTTACACTTAACATAATGGTTTTCTGGTAAGTGTAATGTGGAGAGTTCTTTTTTTTTCCTCCCAAGATAGTTGTGTTGTGAGAATTAACACTTCAGTGCAATTACATAATTGCCCTAAAAACGAGAGCCCATTGCTTTTCCGCCCTCCAGCGGCCGAGCGATAAAGTTACTGAACACTGATAGTTCGGTCCGAGGTTCGAATCCTACGAACGGGCTTTCTGCATGGGCGATTTCGTGGTTTTCCCCATGTGTAACATGTATACGAGCAAGCTTTCCTTAGAAAGTCCTCCACGAAGGAACCCCTACACTTAGGCAGATAACCCTAGTGTGCTTTGCCATAATCTCAATAAACCAAAGCAAACGAACCATTGCTTTTCCCCTTGTAATATAATATTTTCACTTTTTTTTCCAAACTTTTATTGAAAGCCTGCGAAGTAAATAAATAAGAATCTGTTACCGTTGTGGTCCCTTTTCTACAACCTTCAAAAAAAGAAATTAAAATCTGTAAACAGAAACCTGTGAATTGCAGGAATCCATATCAAGTGCACACACGAGCATAGACATCAAAACTTTTAAACTAACTAATTAAATTTGAGATCTAAAGACGGGAACAAGCTCCAAAATTCAAAAAAAAAAAAAAAAAAAAATGTGTTTTGTTTTTTAGAATGAAATCATGGTTTCTAAACACGTTTCAGTTGAACGAGAAAGGTAATGAACAATTCCCCTACATTTTAAACGAAGCAGATATTTTCCTCAAGTTGTAAAAGGGAACATATTGGATTTTTGTACTCTTCTTGAAAACTAAAGAAGTTGACTAATGGAGCAGTAGCTGATATCTGTGATGACACAAACTATGAGTTCCAGCAATGGAACTCGTGTTCATTTGTTCATTTGTGAACTGTAGTTTCACGCATATTATTTCCATATTAATATATTATTCAATTTAAATATCCATTAAACTTAAATTTATACATTATTGAACATAAATATCCAGGCTGTAGTTTGTTGGCTTATTAACCTTTTAAATGTCATGCCCGAGATTATCTCGGGCACAGCACTGGTGTTCGAAAATGTCACGCCCGAGTATTTCTCGGGGTAAATTTTTTTTTGAGTGCATCGTATTGTCATACCCGAATATATATCGGGAGATGTTTATTTCGGCTACATTTGGTTTTTCTAATAAAACAATTTGACAGTTTGTGCACCCAAATCATCAAAATAACTTGACAGTTAAAGGGTTAAGTATTTCTTAGTATCCCAAATCCTGGAAACTGTAACATTGACTGAATATATTATGTAATATTATATTATATTATGTAATTACTAATATTACTAAACTATTTCTGGAGCACTGAAAATTGCTGTATAAAATAGATTTCGAAAATGGATTTCTAAAACATAGTTTTCTTTAGTAAACGACCAACAGCATGTTTCTCATCTTTGATACGGAATTAATTTATAATGATACTTTTTTCAAAAAATAAAAATGAGGTGAAATTTATATAACAAGTTATCTTCTAAATTCATGATGCACACGAATAATTTTATAGGAACAGCTGTTTAGTTCTTTTATTGATGGAGTTAACAGTGGATGTTAGAAGATGTATTTCTGATTTCTTCTATTAAAAATTTATTTTTATATCATTGAATATTACAGTTTTTGAGCAAACTGTTTTACTTTGATCAAGTATTCGAAATCCTCTCTATTCTTGCATCCAAAAGTGCACTTTTAAAAACATACCAAAAGCATGATTTTCTTAATAATAAATTAAATGTTACTAAATTTGATCTGCTGAAGAATTTGCATTTTCAGTGTCTAGTATGATTTGAAAGCTGCTGTAAAATTATATTTTAAGAGGAACAGGGAGATAAATGTTATTTTCTTTATCTATTTAGTCCACGCAGTTTTGATTCTTGTCTCTCAAAGGTGGGATCATAGGCAATAAAAAGAAAGATTTAGTAGTGATATTCAGTATTTTTTAGCTTAGCAAACTTAGATTTAGTTTTAAGTATATTTCAGTAATCCTTTTGCATTTATGGTTATCTCGAAATGAATGTAAAATTTTACATAAGAGGTATTATTTGTAACATCTCGTTTCTGCATTATCTTGCCCACTGAAATTGTACTTTAAGATTTATACTGTTTCGAATTTTTTAAGAACGGAAAATGGAAATTCCGCCCTTTAAGTCAAACGACAAACACCAATCTGCGGACTACGACCCAACGAGACTTTGCTTGGCGGTCATTATTTGCCAAAGATAAGAAGTAAGTACGCTTTGTTTAAATTCATAGCCTTTTATGAAAAGATAACTGTATATAAATTTAATTATAATTTATACTAGCGGCTATGATAAATGTAACTAAAAGGACATTTATTAATATAAAAGTGCCTAGTTAAAATATAATAATAAACAATTAATTAATTTTGTAATCTTAATAAAATTTAACATTGACTAGAAAGTCCATACTCAACAAAAAATTTGAACTTCGGTAGCGACTCGGAACTTAAATAACTGAAGCTAGTAATACGTATACAACTTCTACATTCTTTGCTTGAGTGAGCTGCCACTTTACTCTGAACTTTTCCGTAAACAGATAGCTTGTATCTGCATCTGATAGCAAACTGTCTTCTGCATTTTCTCCTTCTATTTTGAGAAGACGTATATCTTGGAAAAATGTAGTGAACCCAGCTATCCTTAAAATGTTCTACTTTGATTAGACACCGCTGACAAGTATAAGCTTATTATCGGAAGACACTTTAGAGTCTCCTTTTCAAGGCGACTAAATTTTGCGCAAAGAAAAGGGCAAATAGCTGCGAGAAATTTTTAATACTTTATTATGTTTAGGATTTATGCATTTTAATTTTTACTTGAAATTTAATAAAATTAGATAAGCTTATCATAAACATACAATTTTACAGAAACTGTACTATTACAAAGCTACAATAATTATACATAATTATAACCTATTTAACTCTTCTGTGAAATATCTAGATATGAATTTGATTAATATTTTAGTATACTGATGTTAAAATTATCTTAACATGTATAAAACTCATGATTTTATGAAGGTGTAACTAATCATCATGACTTTTGTTTCGTAATAAGAAACGAAACCTAATTATACTTATACAAGATGAAACACAAATAATGACATAATAACGGCCTAAAAGTATAGCAAGCGCTTTGCTAAAAAAGAACTTTTTGCAATACAATGCTTGTCTATCAGTTCAGGTTTTATTGGCCCGAAATGTGAATTGGATTAAAATCTTTGTGGATAATAATTGTAAACAATTACAATTATGGAAATAGCAGCCTTCAAGGCTTTCAAGAGACAAACAGTCAGTACGCATAGAAAACTATTTAAAAATTATCAAAGTAATACTAACAACCTAAATGGAGGTATTAGATGAAAAATACGTCATTAGCAATATTTATCGAGATCCATACAGGAAATTTCCTACTAAGTGATTAAGGTTGAAGTCTGCAGCCATTACGGTATATTTTGTGTCGCTGCAAACAGTATACAGGTTCAGGTTCAGGTGTTAAATATATTGGAACACCCAATGTTTACTATAAGTAATGTGGGTATATTCCCACTACACTTCGTTCTAGAGAAAACCAGAAGATCATAGGACCCACTGAGCCGTCGTGAGGCGAAACATTTATTCCATACCATACAGACAGCCTCGAGACCTCCTGTAAACCTGGGACTCCAAACCAAGACCCCGAGTATTTATTAAAATTTCGAAAACATGTACCAAAATATATATATAACATTTAACCGATGGTGCCGTCGCACTTACATGCTTTGGACACATATCCAGATTCGACCTGTAAAATTTGGTTGTGGTAGCAATACATATATCTTTAGTATAATATAGCTAATACATTTGATACAATTAACAATACAATACAATATTTTGACTAGTTATGAATAGATGATATAGTTTTGAGAATTTGAATTAATTAGTATATCACTTAAATGAATAATGTAGTTAAGTGTTCAGTTTAGTTCAGTAAAGTAGTTCAATATATATATTCAAATATAACACAGTTCAAAAAATATAACACAATACAGGGACAGGGAAAAGTGGACGGAGCACCAGAACTTTGCATATGCTCACACAGTTATTACTCCGTCGCACTACTGTACAAGTCCAAAAACACTTTACAGGAAAAAAAGGCTCGAGGGCCGCAACATCAAGCAGCGAATTCTCGCTACCCATAACTCCAGAACCGTCCCGTCCTGTGGGGATCGGGCCCTTCATCTGTTGGTTCGGCATTTATAAATTTTGTACAAAATTTAGAATAGGTACCATTTACAGTGGTGCATAAAATATCGTTTGCAATAATTTTGTTAATATAATCCAAATATAATATGATAATATAGCTTGGAAACTCATAAATAAGGAATAAAATTAAATAAAAATGAAATGATAGTTAAAGAAAAATAAACTTCATAATATAGCCTCATGCGTATTATCTAAAAGTATCTGCATCCTCTTTAAAGCACATAAACAAATATGCTTATTACAGTTTGTATAATATACCTTATTGGTTACCAATCGTCCGAAGATTTATCAGCTTTGCTGTTTTTTTGGCTATCGTGATTGGAAACGTTTTCTCGAAGAGTACAATTACATTTTCATTTATTTCATATGAAATTCCCGTTACTTAAAACCTTTTTAAATGATACTTTGGACACACTTAAACGTGCTAGCAGTGCCTCGAAATTTTACCCTACATGTTTCGAGATCTTAATACGTTTTTTTAAATTCATTTGCATAGTGTAATCCCATGAAAAATTTTGTTTTCATAAATATTCTAACTGGAGGTCCCACTGGTCAACATTTTTTTTTTATTTCCTTCCTTCTTTTTGTGCGTATACGCACGAAAGAAACAAAAATATTTTAATCTTTATAAAAGCCTTCTATGCAGATTTTTCTTCGGCCTGAATGATAAAATTGTAAATAGTTATAAAATAGTTATGTTTATTCAGCTGCCATTCCTCATCCATAAAGTACTCATGGCAGTCCTTTCAGTTCTCTCTCTAGAAAATAAAATAACTATTTTCTGAAAATGTTTTATATCTAAACACTTACGTGTTAAACATGCACATAATTCTTCGTATTGCCACCGTGATTGTTACTGAAAAATTCTGGTAAGAAAACTTAAATTCTTAATATCAACTTTTCATTGGTATGAAGGAAAATGCTGTCATAGACATCTGGTTTAGAAAATGTGTTGCCTACATTGCTTTCTAGCGTATATGTTGTTACGACTGATCACAGCATTTAGGGCATTCATTAACCCTTTTAACACTGAGGATGACATTTACCACTTTCATACACAGAGCTCTACTTTCTCGATAGTAGCAAATGCTTTCGGTAGAACGATATGACCCATAATAGTTCAGAATACCGTATGAGTTTATTACAATTCATTATGGCAATCGCAGGAAGCATTTCTTGGATTTGCTTTCACCATGCCATCAAGACGAGGTAAGCTGCAATTAGAGACCCATAGTCCTAGGAATTCATTCAATACAGCAAAATGTCAAACGCACTGCGTAGTTCCTGTACATGACGCATATGACAACACTGGATACCGGCCAATACGTAAAGATGGATCCGAACAGCGTTGTAATATGGATACTAGGGAATAACTTTGGAAAGGGAAGGAGAATCCAGTGTAAAAAATGCAAAGTATTACGTTTGTTTAATAAAAAATAAATTTTTAAAAAGTCCACATACAATAAATATTAGTAGTATTATAAGCAATGTGTATATTTTTATGAAATTTGACTTCGAGACCAGACGGTAAGAATCGCCAAGTAGGGATTGGTTAATATGCTGCTAGGGGATTCTTATAATAATGATAAGCAATATTTCGTAGACTTTTGTCTTGGTCCGTCTAAAAGCATTCAGGGTTGAAAGTATTAAAGGTGCATAATTTCCATTCATAATTCATATGTGTAACCATCATTAACTAATGCAGTTTTAAAGTGAAACCTTCAAAGTTGAAAATAGTTTTAAAATCTTTTTTTTTTCTTTTTTATATCTTGGGACAGCATATGAAAATAAGCGGAAAAGTATATTTCCTGTAATAATTTCTTTCTACAGTGGTATCCAAGTTACCGAAAAAGCAGTCACTTTATCATTCAATTTCACAAAAGAATAAATAACGTCATTAAATTAGAAAAAAAAAGCGAAAGCTAAAGCCTTATTACGTGTAGCTTCGGTTTTCAAAATACATCTTAATCGATTCCGCAGTTTAAATTCCCAATTTCCTTTCCATTATCCAAAGCGGATGAAGCTGCCACCAGAAACGTTTGTCGAAACCTTCGCAATATGATTCCCTGATAAATGGAATGGAATAAATTGCTTGCGACGAATGACAACCCAATCACCACAAGGGAAAAAATATAAAAAGAACTTTTGTTATTCTTTATAATTCTAATGACGTCCATTGATGGAATTTTCTCCTTCCTAAACAGATCGATTTGATTTTATATGTTTTCACGTTGGATGAAAGAAATATAGATGTATTTATACTCCTTTACTTTTGTGAATATTTAATTTTTTTCCTCTTAAAGAGAATAAACGGTAAACATGTTAATTTTGCTTTGTTAAAAATTTAAATAAATGCAAAGTAATTTTGAGTTTTATTCTGGTTAAAATAGGCTGCAAAATGTATGTCTTTACTATGATTTTAGAACAAGCGCTGTTATACTATGCAAATAAAAACTCGTGCGTTACAGAGAAATTTCTTTTTTATATTTAAAGCTACCTTTCATAGCGGAGAGGCTTAGAAGGTTGCGTTTTTTAGTTCAATCTATGTTTGAATTCCTGGAAACAAAAACTAATTTTTGTCGCGGAAGTTACAAGCCTGGCTACCATTTGGCGACATTTTTGTCCGATCCCTGTGTATCAGTTTTCAGTTTGTTCAAAGTTTAACACAAAGTACTGAGAGGTTCTATTCGAGCTTACGCTTTTGAGACTCTTAGCATTACCTTGCATTCATCACTCTTAGCAGTTTGAAGAAGCAACTATTGTTGAGTTCTATCATACTGCAAAGAGCCGTAAGTGTACTTTCGTCTGAACGGTTCCAAAACTGGAAAAAAGAAAGCATCGAGCTTTCATCGGTTCTGTGTGCATTCAATCCATTACGAAACCGTACCCTCATAACAAAGTTTTGGTGTCAGAAGTGGGATTGAATGTTGGTGACAGGAAAGTAACCGAGACTTAAATCGCCAAACAATAC